CTGACGTAGCCCTGGTATTGGGTGAACCAGGTATAAAATACCTGGTGATATCTTTCTTAACCTTTCTCTCCTTTAAATTCAGTTGTTGCGACTTATTTTGATTGATTGCTTTGTGATTCAAGAACAAATCTTTAAACTTAATTTTCGAATTAGATAATCTGTTATTTGCGAAAAACCAAAGATCAATTCACCCCCCCTCTTGATCTAAAACTACTTTTCTAACAATTCCATATCACTTGTTTATGTACTAATTGCTTTCTGTCATTCTGCTTTTTGAATCTGAATTTTGTTTTACAAGAAGAAGGGCTATAAATAGTGTAAATTTTTCCAATCCCTAAACATACACTGGCAATATATTCTAATTTTATGGATATGAAGTTCAGAAAGCATAAGTGAATTTGAAAATGAAATTTATTAAAATAAATATTAACCAACTCTATATCGACAAATTTGAATGTGAAGAAGGTCCTCGATTGGGAATGAACTTGAAGATTTTTCCTATATATGTTGATAGTAACAACTCTCATGTTTTCAATAAAAGTGAGGTTCTTCGGATCAGAGACTTGTTCATAGACTTTAATCTTCCCGGAAATGACTTCCTTGGACCTTATGAAATTGTAGACTTCATTCTCCTGGATCTCTGGTAAGTCACAAAAACTTCCATATAGTGTTTAGCGGAAGTTGGACACTAAACAATATAACATTGGTTGAATTCTCTTTAGGTGGTCAAATATTATAATATCAGTTTTAAGTTTCAGTCTTATTAATTGAATTCTCTACTATAGTTCATGTCTCATCTTTCAAAGTTTGATTAAAACTGTGAAACTAAATTTTGCTTTAATTCTATTAGTATTTGATGTGACTGCTCCGAAACAAGGGTAAACGTCATTTTGTCAACATTTCTCTACTCATGATTGATTTTTGTCAAGGTTGTTCTGCTGCAACGATCAATTATGCTTTTTGAATATTCAACGACGTGATTTCACGCGGATTTTTCTTTTGTATATATAATAAGTAAAGTCTTGGGATTACGTTAAATGTGGCAGTAGTTAATTAGATACTTATACATGCTGCTTCACTAAAGAACACAGATCTGATGGAGTTGTGTGATTCACTTCATTCAAGCTTTAACTATTCACTTAATTTACAGTATAACTTTAAAGATCAATTGAGATATTCAATACATGCATAAATTGCTTCAATTCACGAAGATAATTATTTCTCTGCTAACGAAAGAAGTTTGATCTTCAAGAGCAAGAGTACTCTCAACAATCACTTCTTTTCCTATTTTTTTTTTTAGGAAAACATGGGGCTATAGGTATAGGGCTCTTACCAGAAATATATGTTTGTGAATTGAACGTACTTTGTCTTGGTCCATGCAGTTTATTAAACTGAATTGCTGCTATAATTATACTGTCACTGGAATTATAGAAGCCAATATATATGTTTCTTTTTATATTGATTAGCTTCTCCTTCTGGTTAGAACATTTGTAAGAACTCTAAAGTTTACGGGTGAATTTTCATTGAGTGTGTTTTTAAGGGAAATGATGAGATATTTCACACTACTAAAAATTCTCATTTTTCATGGGAATATTTTTGCAAAATTTTGATAAAAATTGCAAGAAATAAGTTTTCTATAAATTTAAACAATTTTTTGCAAAAAAATTGGCAGAAAAAAACTAATTTTGTAGTAGTGTCAAGAGTACTACATGTCTTTAAGGATAAATTGTTACACTTCAAGACTAATTCTAAGTAGTTTAATTATGAAAAAAAATAGTAATCAATTGTGTATAATGTGAGAATTAGTGAAAATAATTTTGTATACTTAATAATTTATTTCTCCGTAGTTCTTTTTAATAGTAATTAGTAGTCTGTTATTCGTGTAATGATGTTATGAAGGAGTTGAACAGGAAATTATTGAGTAAATCTAATAGTTACATGTTCTTAAACTAGGTGAGTTAGTCAGTCCAAACTAAATATATGTGAGTTCTGGAAAAGTATCCATCTTTTGGTTGCTTCTCAATTTAACTTCTATTCATTTTCTCAGTTTAGTCTTTTTGAGATACCATGACAATTAAACGAAAATACTGTGCTATGATAAGTAAGCATTGAATAATAGAGATGTAATGGCTTGTTCATGATTATATTCTTTGTTACTGTCAAGTTAAGAATTTAAACGAATCCAATTAATATTGGAAGTTAATGCTCTACCACTCATCAATGATGAATATGCTGCTTCATAGTGTGATCCATAGCCATCTATATATAGAAAGACATATTTTTGAATTGTTTTATGCTTGTTCTGCTACTTCTTATGTTGTCACAGTGAGTGTTACATCTCCAAGTTCAGGGATAAGTAAAAGTGCACTGGCTGGAATAGTCTTAGGTGCAATTGCTTTTTTTGTTACTTTATCTGCAATTGTCACGATTCTCATATGGAGAATACGCTTGAGATATAATCATACACCTTCCAAACGGCCAAAAGGTGAGTACCTTAAAGTTAATAACCTAGCATATTATTATTATTATTATTATTATTGTTATTCCTTCTTTTTTACTTGCTTCAGTGCTCTTGCTCTGTCACAATCAGAAGTGTAGATGTTACTGCTCATAATTTTATTTTGAATGAACCATATTATAAATTTGATTACGTTTATTATCATTCAGAATAGTCAATGTTCTCATGTTAAACTTTTGGGATTGTTCCTGACATTCAAAATATTCAATCCAAGTAAAAGTATGATGAACGTTCTTACAAAAACATATGAATGTGGATAGAATAAGAGTAATTCACGCATCACGCAATTGATTCAATTATTGAACCTGTATAATTATCCCAAAGTAATGTGACATTATACTTAACATTCCACTTCTTTTGGTCTTTTTGACTTGGACTTTATTTAATTGATGAACAAGATGGAGGTGCATAGTGTAACTTTTGTGATAATTGATAAAGTTAGGAGATAATACTAGTATTTTTTTTTTACTTGTTATGAGCTATGAACCTGGGAACAGATAAGGCTAAGAAGGTGCAAACACCCCTCCACTGCACTCTGCCCATACATGTTAGTTATGCTGTCAAATGTAAAAAAAATTTGAACCCGGTTTAGATATTCATCCAAGAGCACTATTGATTTAGCTTACACTTCTTGTAAATTTACTTTTTCCCAATTTATTTGTCATGAAACTTTAAAATCACCTGCTTTTAGCTAAATTTACTGTCTCCTTGTTTTGTACTTGGAGTTTTGAAATGCGAGGTGCCAGCATATTTAAAAGTTCACTAAACAAGGCACGCATGATAATGAAGAAGCCAAATTGGCTTGCAGAAGATGTATGGGATATCTTATGCCAACATTGGGGATCAAAACAATTCAAAGTAAAAAGTTTGATTGCAAAAGCAAATCGAGCTTCTGATTGTGATGGACTTGGAATTTCACTCCATACTGGTGGCTCTATTAGCACTTCTCAACATACAGAACATTTGGTAAAGTTTGCTTTATACTCCTTTATGCATGTATTAGTCCTATATGTTGTACTTTTGAACCTATAATGTATATGTGAATTATGGAACCCTAGAATACATTTAGGTGTGGAAAGAATGTACATTAGTTAGCTCAAATTTCATTGCATGGTGTTGTTTATGATGGAAGAGAAAAATAGTTATTACATTACCTATTGTCATGTCTTGACAAACTTCTTTTCTTTTATGGTGGATATTGCATTTCTAAGTTTGTGTTTGTAACCATATTTTAGATAAAGTTGAATGGAAAACCCCCTACCCCATCAGAGTTGTTTCACAAAACACATAAACGAAAGGATAACACATGGGTGGATCAAAGATCAGCACATGTAGATGTAAGTTTCTTATTTTTCTTCTTATGTTAATTTCTTAAACAATTGTATCCTTTTTTTATGTTTTTATCCAATTCACTACTATTCTATTTTAATGTTTATAGGCAGAGTTTAGTCGTGCATGGGAAGAAGCCTCCCAATCTGGATCTATTGCAGGAGGCTCTCCGCCTGATGAATTACAGGTTTGGTGTAAAGTTGTTGGAATAAACAAAGGCAAAGTATATGGGCTTGGATCTGAGTTAAACAAAGCAATTGGGAGAAATCTTTGCCACGACTCTACTTCATCATCTGTCCAACTTATGAGAGAGGAGATTGAAAAATTAAAACACAAGTTAGAGGAAGTTGAGACTGAAAGGGATGATCTCCGTGAAAGAATGTTAACTAATGAGAAACAAATTCAGAAAAATGATAAAATGTTGCTCCTCTTGATGGAGAAGATGGATGTTCAACCTCCTGAATTGTGAACTGATTCTATTTTGTATATTGTATTTTTTTTGTTAGTTTCTGACATATTCAGAATTATGACTCTTATTTTAGTTTATTTTACTTACTTTTAGATTGAATTTTCAATATGTAAGAAAGTATTTAATTAATGAATGGCGAATTTATTTAGAACAAAATTTGTGATATTATTTTGAATGTTATCTTAGGTAGTGAAATTTTCATATATTTAATACCATATATAATATATATATATATATATATATATATATATAATATTTTATATTCCTTAATCGGGTTTATCATTATTTTACAAATAATATAAAAAAATTAAAATAAAATTAGTAACCGATATAGTGACCGATTTAGTCATATATATTTGGTCACTAAATCGGTCACTGAATCGGTCACTGAATCGGTGACTGAATCGGTCACTAAATCGGTCACTAAATCGGTCACTGATTCGGTCACTAATTCGGTTACTAAATCGGTCACTGAATCGGTCACTGATTCGGTCACTGATTCGGTCACTAAATCGGTCACTAAATAGTCACCAAAGAAATAGTGACCGATTCTAGTTGGTCACTATTTTAGTTAGTGACCGATTTTGGTCATTTAGTAACTGAATTTTCGGTCACTATTTAGTGTTTTTCTTGTAGTGAGGTTTTCATAAAACTTTCTAAGTGATTTTAACTGATAACAATCTGTTTTAATCGATTAAAATACTTTGGAAAAAATCCTTTTAGTTATTTTAATCGATTGAATCGCATTTTAATCGATTAGAATTTTGCCAAAAGATTTCATAAAACTTTCTAAGTTATTTTAACTGATAACATACTTGTTTTAATCGATTAAAACATTCTGGAAAAATCTCTTAGTTGTTTTAATTGATTATTTTGCATTTGTATCGATTAAAATATTGACAGAACAACTTTCAAAACACTTCAAGTTATTTTAATCGATTATTTCAAGTTTGTATCGATTAAAATTTTGCCAGAACATTTTTCAAAATATTCTAAGTCATTTTAATCGATTATTTCAATTCTATATCAGTTAAAATACTGGCAGAAGGTTTTCAAAATCCCTTCTAATGAAAACAATCGATTATTTCAAAAACATATAAGTTAAAAACCTGTTACAAAATTGTTAAGAACATTTTAACTGATAAGGCTCATATAATATCAGTTAAAACAGTTACTTCAAAACCATTTAACAAAATACTTTGTTTTTAACAGTTTAAACACGTTTTAGAGGCATTTGCAAAATCTTTTAAATGAAGAAACATTATGTAGCAGAGAGATAAAAATGATTATACCTAAGTAAAGATGCAGACTCACTTATCACTCTACCCTTTTATCTAAGTGACCTTTGACTGCAACAAAGTAGCCTTTGACTTTGTTTTGACTTCATCAAATCAACAAGATATTTGTTTAAATGATTCAATAAGATCTTCATCACTTTCAGTTCTGTTCCTCCAGATGCTCCATAGCTCTAGCCTTCTGTGCAGGGTTCAAATGGGAAGAGGACCAGCCACTTTCTAAGATGCCCAAGAATGAATTTGATTAATGGAAATGAATGATAGGTGTGGGATTAGTATCCTCTATGATAATAACTTAGGTATCATCCTTAAATACTATGCTTTGCGGAGTGCCATACCCACTTTGGTATAATGGTTCCTTCCCCGTCATGGATTTGACAAGTATAACGAAGGTCACCATATACCTTAGCACATTTGTCCCTTCCTTGTGGATGGTTGCAAATGTGCTCGGGTCCTCTTTCTTCTTTGTCTTAGAGATATCTAATACCCCCTAGCATGAATGCGTTTATGCATGAGAGATTTTATTAAAATGATGTTTATGCGTACTTTCCTTATGTATTTATTTTCTCTCTTGGTTTTTTCACTTATGACATGATGTGATATGAATGATTTGACTTTGTCAAAAATTGTTTTATTCAAATTCATTATTTTTCCTTTTTTATTTATTTGGTTTATTTGATTTTTATAACCTTTTATCTCTTCTATCGGACTACGTGGCTACTTAGCTTACAAAGAACCTGAAACCAGGCTAGCTAAAAGGCAGATTGTCCGAGACAAAAATGGTTTATTGTAAAAGAATAGTTTTAGCGTCCCTTATTTCTTCTGTCGGACTGTGTGACTACTTAGCTTGAAAAGAACCTGAAACCAGGCTAGCTAAAAGGCATACTGTCCGAGATAAGGGTGTTTATTGTGAAATTTTTTTTTTGAATTTTTTCTATTTTTCTGTTGTATGGTTATGTTATGCAACAATCAAATGCAACAAACAAATGCACACACAATTCACTCATCCGCGAACAAGTAGGACTACATTTTTAATCACGAGGTAGGGGTATCCTACAAAAGAGTGCATATTCAGGGTCGTTCTAAATTTCCTCACCAAGGCCAGGCCCCAAGGTGCCCCCATTATAGGGTCCCCACTCTCCAGCCTTCCGACCATGCTTAGCACTAAGGCCATAGTCAGTCTTTGTGCCAAAAGAGGAAGGTTATCACCTTGAGTGGTGCTTTGCGATCACACCGGTGGGCTCAAGGCCATCACTACAGCGAACCATACCTGCCACCCACTCCCTATGGATTTCTCACTTGCCCCCGGGTATAGAGGGAACTGTTGTGTGCAAAGGTTTATGTACAGTTTGTATTTCAAACAATTGCATAAACATAAACAAACAACAGTTATTAAAGCCAAGCAATTAAAACATGTTATAATACAAGGTAGGGTAAAAGCGTAATTTCTTAATTTATTTATTAAACTGGCCCATCACTAAATGGGATCAACTCTCTAGGCCTCCCTAGTGAAGTCGCCATATGTCGCCGCCGTCAAAAGTGGCGGTCGAAGCGACGCGATGGTTCCGACTTTCTGATTTTCGCGTTTTTATGGGTGATGTTACAATGCCTTTAGGTTGTTTGATAACCGGGCTAAACCTAAGGGCGAGATTTTCGAAAAGGTGTTCTTAGGTCGTCCGATAACCGGGCTGATCTTAGAACTAACTTGAAAGGGTTCTTATGGAGTCGCCACTGATGTTTTTACCAGAAACATCAAAAAAGGAGAGAAAAGGCGTTGGTTTTTAAAAACCAACTTTGGTGGTTAAAACCAGAGTTGGGTAAGGGAGTTAGTTACATGTAAGGGAAGTGTTAGTTCCCTTACGACGCCCCTTTTGGTTCCCTATGATGGGCCAGTTATTTTATAGATAAACTTTCAAAACGACGCTTTTACCCTCTTATTTTCGGAATAAAAATAATGACTACATGGCCCTAATGTCTATTATGCAATTTAATCATAAAAATAAAGATAGTAAAAGAGAGGGAGAGAGTGAAGAAACCTCCGAAGTAAGCTTTTTGATTAATTCTCTTAAAGATAGGGTGCGTTTTGGCAGCCCATCGCTCTTACAACGTCAAAAATCTCTCGAAAACGCTATAAAAAAGCTCTCTAAGACACTCAGAACCACCATAAATGCTTCAGAGGGATTCTAGGAAGAGAATTTGAATAAAGTGTAGAAGGGAAAGTAGAAGAACGGTGTGAAATGAGGGGGGGAGTGCTCACTATTTATAGGGATTCGCGCCTGTCAGGTCGAGACGACGGTCTCGACTGACAAGGTCGAGGCGGCCGTCTCGCCATTCGGGATGACGGTCTCGACTTGCAAAAGTGGCGAGACTGCCGTCTCATTTGGCAAGACGGAAGTATCGACTTTTCAAGTAACGAGAAGGCCTTCTCGCCAAACGGGAGGGGGGTCTCGCCAT